TCCTGCCGCATCGCAGCGCTGCACCCTGGGTGGTTGCGCGTTGTGGACAGCCGCCCCTCAGGCGAGGCTTAGGGTTTAGGGTTTTGGGGTTTAGGGTTTTAGGGTTTAGGGTTTAGGTATATTGGGGTTATGTAGGAATAATGGAACAGAAAATGGAAGCTACTCTATGTGTTAATTACTTTGGGTCCTTCTTGGGACTTAGCTTGGACCTTAGACCCTTAACCCTCTGCGATTCACGTATATTCCTATTATAGGTACCTAAGCGTAAACCCTTACTAGGGGTCCTAAGTGCCACGTAGTATTGTGGGTCGTTACGTTTCATACCAACATGCGGTTGATTGAGAAATCCTGCAGGATTCTAAGCCCCAAACCTCTAATAGAGAAGGAACTATGGTAAAGCAGTATGCTAAGGTCGCGGGATGTTATTGGATCAGCTCTACTATACAGGAGCCCTTGATTCTTGGAAGCCACAGAATACGTATCGTCAGAAGCAAATCAGAGTCTCATCATAAGCGCGTTACGCTCATCAGAAACTCATTGCCCAAGAGCTCCGAACCCTACACACGAACCCCCAGATCCCAAACCCTGAACCCTTCTGTGACTCCAAGCCCTGAGCCAACACCTAAACCTGAACCCCAATGGTAGGTTGTCAAAACTATGGCCCTTCGTGGGGTCGCTAGTGACCTATTTTATTACGGCGCTTAATTCATCGGGTACACAAAAAGATCATAATGTTGACAGCCTCCGGGGTGCAATCCTGACCCAAAACCCCCAACATTTCCTTGCCCTAAACCCTCAGCTGTAAACTTTGAACCCTAAACCTAAGCTCCTTTACCCTAAACCCCCCCCTCCTAAACCTAGACGTGTCCGTAGGGCGCCTACCGTTTTTGTGGAAAATCCTGCTCATGTGAGCCATAGTCTGAACGCCGTGAAGGGGCATTATATAGGGGATTATATAGGGAACTATAGGAGTTATTAAGGGGGATACTAGGAGTTTAAACAAAAGCTCATGTGACATCATCAGCTTTGCCACCTTGTTCTTCAGGGATGGAAGGGGGAGGGGAGGTCTAGGGTGTTGCAGGCATGGTAACCCGGGGTATGTTATAATGGGGTTATCCATACAGGTTATGAACGGATAATGGAGAAGAAAATGGAAGCTAGGTTTAGGGTTTAGGGCGCATTTGTCAAATAGAAATCTCCTGACATCAACAACCCGCAAGTGGGTATATGCTCTGTGCATTTGGTGAATTTTCTAAGCCCTGAATCCCACACCCTATGAACTCTAAACTCCTCGACCCCAAGCCCCTGAACCCAAAACCCAAAACCCTAAGCCTTAAACCCCAAACCCTGAGCCTTACCTAAACCCTAAACCCTAAACCCAAGGAGATCTCACAGACCCAGAGCTCGAGAGCCCTAACGCGCGCTGGGGCGCGGAGAGCACTGCCGGCCATTGTCCCTGGGTCCACAAATAGCCTCAGGATTCGTATAGGGTTTAGGACTTAGAGCTTAGGGCTTAGGATTTAGGATTTATGTAGAGAATCTCCTTAAACTTTTCAGGAGTTGTAGGTCCACAAATAGCCTTTCTTTCTTACGGATTTACGTAGGGCTTAGGGTTTCGGATTCAGAGCTTAGGGCACAATATCCTTCTATTTTTCAGGAGTTTTCTGTCTTGGGTATTGATGTAGGGCTTAGCGTTTAAAGTTTAGGATTTAGGAATTAATGCACAGTATCCTTATGCTTTTCAGGATTTGTTTAGGGTTCAGGATTTAGGATTTAGGGCTTAGGGCCCAGGATTCCGGATTTCTGTAGAGAAAATCCTGAGATTTTTTCAGAAGTTGTAGAGGGTTTCGGGTTTAGGGCTGAGGGCTTAGATCTGAAGGTTTGAATTTACGGTTTAGGGCTTAAGGCTTAGGGTTTAGGGCTTAGGGTTTAGGGTTTAGGATTCAGGATTTAGGGTTGAACCCTAAACCCTAAACCCTTGTGTCCCAGGGTCGACTTCCGGGATCCTTCGTGTTTTTTGGGGGGGATCATATAGGGATCATATAGGGAGAGTTTAGGGTTTAGGGTGGCTGGGATCATATATGGTTCTATAAAGATAATTTAGGGTTTAGGGTTTTGTTCCTGGATCTACATTACTCCTTTCTGTTTAGGCACTACTCGCAAATTTATCCTTTGTAGTATAACCCGTTAGGGTTGAGGACTTGTGTTTGCTTGGGGGCGTATCTTAGGTTTTGGCGTGTAAGTTTTATACTTCTGTTTTGGGATCTGCGAATTCCTGTATATAGCTGCAAGCAGGATCCTTCTTCCTTCGAGATTCTGAGAACAATCCTGTAGACTCCTTCTATCATCCCGGTACAACCCACCCTAAACCCTAAACCCTTCCTGGGACGCATCACCCCTTTGTATCCCTTGGGGTCCTTAAACCCTAATCACTACACCCTAAACCCTTAACCCTAAACCTCCCGGGTCTTGAAAAACCTCCAGATTAAGCCCTAAACCCCAGACCCTAAGCCCTAAACCCCTAACCCTAAACCCTAAACTCAGGTGTGGCTTTCGCCGTCCCACTGTCTCCTTGCCGAATTTGTTAACAACAAGAGGATTTCGGGATTCAGGGTAAACCCTGGACTCTAACAAAAGGATTGTTGGGATTCAGGGTTTGCATCTAGGGTTTCGGTTTGAGAGAAAAAAGAAGATTTTAGGGCTAAGGGTTTGAGCAGAGGCCTTCAGCGTTTGGAGTTTAATTGCACTGTAATAACAGGATTTCCAGTTTAGGGTTTGGGGTTTGAGAAGGGTACTTATCCCCAACCCCGACAACAAGGAAGCTCTTGGTGTCAGATACCAGTCATAGGTCCCCTTTTAAGGGGGCACAAATCTCCTTCAGGTATAGGGTTGAGGGTTTCAGGTTCAGGATTTGGGGTTCAGAGTTTAGGGTTGGGGGTTTAGGGTTCAGGGTTTAAAATTTAGGGTTCGGGGTAGTCAGTAATTGTTGCGATCTGCGTTGCGCCGGCTCTTAGTCATCTTGCCTTAGCGTAACGGCTGTATGGAAGTGCTACATACCCAAATATCTGCTCACATGGGCATGTGTGCTGATGTCTGAGTTGTTGCAAGATTTTTTGCTTGAAGCCCAGGTATAGGAATGATTGAGGAACTTTTGCGGGTTTAGGGGGTTTGGGTTCAGTTTAGGTTTTAGGTTTTAGTTTTTAGGGTTTGGGCTTTGGGGTATAGCCTCTAGCGGGTGTAGGGTTTAGGGTTACGGGGCTTGCGGTCGAGTTGAGGCTCTAGGATGGTACAGTTACTAGCTTGCGGCTGATGGTGTACGTTTTTTTTTTTCTCGTTCCCGCCGTTGTAGGAAACATGTAGAGCGTTCAACAAAACCCTTAAACCCTAAACCCTGAACCCTCAACCCTACACTTTAAATTGTAGTAGCACCGTTCTAAGTCTACGTAGCACGAGTACATTAGGATATAGGTTCCCATCGGGGTAATGTTAGGGTTATATTGGGATTGTACTGGGGTTATATAGTATATTGTAACATATTCTAAACCCTAAACCCTATATTGT